CCCAGCTACTTGGGCGGCTGAGGCAGGAGAATCACTTGAGCCCAGGAGTTGGAGGCTGTAGTGAGCTATGCTGTGCCACTGCACTCCGGCCAGGGTGATACAACAAGACCTTCTCTCAAAAATAAATTTTAAAAAGCCGGGCTCAGTGGCTTACACCTGTAATCCCAGCATTTTGGGAGCCAAGGTGGGTGGATCACTTCAGGTCAGGAGTTCAAGACCGGCCTGGTCAACATGGTGAAATTCCATCTCTACTGAAAATACAAAACTTAGCTAAGCGTTGTGGTGCATGTCTGTAGTCCCAGCTACTTGGGAGACCGAGGCACGAGAATCGCTTGAACCTGGGAGGTGAGGTTGCGGTGAGCTGAGATCATACCACTGCATTCCAGCCTGGGCAACAGAGCGAGACTCTGTCTCAAAAAAATAAATAAATAAATAGGTCAAGTATGATGGCTCACACCTGCTGTCCCAACACTTTGGGAGGCCAAAGTGAGAGGATTGCTTCGGCCTAGGAATTTGAGACCAGTCGGGGCAACATAGTGAGACTCTTCATCTCTTAAAAAATAATAATAATGAGAGCGAGAGAAGGAAAAGAAAGGAAGGAGGAAGGAAAAAGAAAAAGAAAGAGAGAGAGAGACAGAGAGAGAGCCCCACAGACTAGAAGGGCCAGATCCAGAGACCCAGGCCTGGGGGCTGAAGGGAGGGACGGTGGGGGGTTAATGGGAGGAAGTCCCCTGTCCCAGTGCAGCCAGAGCAGCCGCCCACCTGACCCTGCAGGACAGTGCCCATCCCTGCAGAAGCCCAGTGGCCAACTGAGGCAGGAGGAGCTCCAGACAACAGCATGTGAGGCAGGCGTGGATTTTGGTGAGTGTGGGGAGCCGCAGGGGACAGGCAGAGTCCACTTGCAGGCCGAATGCCAACATGACACCCTTCTGCCCTCCCCCTTCCCCAGTGTACAAGACAAAGCTGGAATCTGTGGAGGTCTCTGCCTCCAACCCTTACGTCTATTACAACATGCAACTCGAAGACATCATTAAAAGTGGTATGTCCCAGGTGACAAAGGAAGAATCCCAGTGTGGGGTCACCCTGTGGGCCTACCCTAGGGGTCCCATTGTGTGGGAGGGTCAGACTTATGTGTGCGCACACACTGGGTTTTCTCCAGGCACAGATCCTGCCACATCCCTTGCCATGAAGAAATTCATCTCCCACGCCACCTGCCACGACTCCCTGGGGTTGCAAGAACAGGAATCGTACCTTATCATGGGCCGGACGTCAGACCTGTGGAGAATCAAATCTGAGTGCGTGAGGGGCTCCACCTGTCCTGGGAACTCAAGCCTGGGCCCTCTTCCTTACCCTCAACCCAGCCCTCAGTTCCACAGTTTTTGCTGGAGGTTCCAAGTGATTCTCCTGCCTCAGCCTCCCAAGTAGTAGCTGGGACTACAGGCGTGCGCCACCACGCCTGGCTAGTTTTTGTATTTTTAGTAGAGACGGTGTTTCATCATGTTGGCCAGGCTGGTCTCGAACTCCTGGCCTCAAGTGATCCGCCCACCTCGGCCTCCCAAAATCCTGGGGTTATGGCCATGAGCCACTGCACCCGGCCAGAGAAGCATTTACTAATTCCCAGTGATTCGGACTAAGAGCGTGGAAGACCAGAGAGGGCCTTCGGGCGGGGACACTACAGGCTAAGGCTCTGGCAGGCTGTCAGACAGGGCAGGGCAGGGAGGTTGCCATATCCCCAGGGTCACCAGGCCCTCCTCACCTTCTTGCTTCTTGTAACCCACAGTTACAGCTACGTTCTGGGCAGGGAGACGTTCCTCATGCTTTGGCCAGCAGATGGAGATGCCAGCAAGAAAGAATTGTGGAAGCAACTGGACGAATTTTCGGAATATATGCGCACCCATGGCTGCGAGTCCTGAGCCTCCTCTGCTTTCAGGGAGGTGTCACCAGGCAGCTCTGGGCCACTGGGTTTAACCCCAAATAAAGAGCACAGGATATCACACCCAAACCCTGGACACTTGTCCCTGTTGCACCTTTCACCAGGGGACCTGCACAACCTGCTCTGGCATGACGTGGACCTGTCTCCTCCCTCCTCCCCTGCTACTTGGGTGGCTGAGGTGGGAGGCTCACTCGAGCCCAGGAGTTGGAGCATAGCTCACTACATTTGGCTCCGTTCTGACCACACTGGCCTCCTTTGCATCCTTCCAGCATCCACCTCCGCGGGGAGATGATTCCCAGCTCTGGGCTTTTGCACCCACCATTCCTCTCCCAGGTGCACCCCTCCCCCTAAAGTCGGCTTAGCTTGAATTGTTCCCTTTTCTGGGCTCTGTTTAATTGTCACCTCTGGCATGGTGGCTCATGCCTGTAATCCCAGCACTTTGGGAGGCCGAGGTGGGTGGATGTTAAATGGGTGTTTTCCCTGCCCCACAATGTCAGCTCCTTAAAGTCGGGGTTGTATCTGTCTTATTCGCTGTGGTATTCCCTGTTTTTACAGCAGGAGCTGGAACTCAGTAGGTGCTCAGGAAATGAGTGTTGACTCAGTGAATAGACGGATGGATGAATGAGTCAGTGAATAAATGGATGGCTGAGTTTGGTGCCCACATTCTGAGCTTGGCCCTAATGGTTCACTTGCTGTGTAACTTCAAGCAGCTTATAGTGATGGAAGTTTTGTTTTGGTTTTGGTTTTGTTTTGTTTTTTGAGACAGAGTCTCGCTCTATTGCCCAGGCTGGAGTGCAGTGGTGCGACCTCAGCTCATTGCCACCTCTGCCTCCCGGGTTCAAGCAATTTTCCCGTCTCAGCCTCCTGAGTAGCTGGGACTACAGGCGCCCGCCAGCACGCCCGGCTAATTTTTTGTATTTTTAGTAGAGACGAGGTTTCACCGTGTTAGCCAGGATGGTCTCGATTTCCTGACCTCGTGATCCGCCCGCCTCAGCCTCCCAAAGTGCTGGGATTACAGGCGTGAGCCATCACACCCAGCCAGATTCTAGATTCTTAGATTCTTAGTACG